CTGGTCCACAATTACAACATATAAAGTTTTCATTAATTCAAAGAAAATGTTCTTTTTTCTGTGAACCCACTGAAAAAATATGTAAAAAAAACTTTTAATAGTTGATCTATTACTTAATTACTTTGGTGTCGTATGAATGAGGGAGATTTTTTTACCAACAGGAAATCCTGTTAAATGTTCAAAATGATGCACTCCTTCACATGTTCCACAGCCTAATGGTGGGCCGGACTCGGCTGGGCCGATTCTGGACCCCGAGCCTCATATTCAGCACCCCTGGTTTAATGCAAAGCAATCATCAGCTTTTTTCTTTTACATGCATACATACAGTTAGGTCCATAAACATTTGGACAATAAGAGAATTTTTGTAATTTTGCCTCCGTTCACGATCACGATGTATTTGAATCAAGATGTGAGTGAAATCCAGACTTTCAGCTTTAATTCAAGGTGATGAACTATTTGTTCAATTGTTGAATTACAGGCAGTTTTATACACGTCTCCCCATTTAACTGTACATATATATACATACATATTTAACGGTACATATAGATTCAAAAATCGTTTTAAATGTGCGCAGAGTTTTAAATTATTTGGAGTTTTTATGCTGCTCTGCTTTTTCTGGATTTCTCACTGAGCAAATGTGTAAAATGAAATTTTAAGGTTATTAATAAGGTGATTTGTTTCTTTTGTTTGGAAACCCCACATTGCACACAAGTATTATAATGAACCTGTGAAGTTGTTTGAAGCGTGTCTGAAGGGAAACTTTAGGGGATTTCCTCACACGTGTTCAGCTACTCGCAATTATTCTGTGTTTCTGTGGTGATCATAACAGTTTCAGGATAATAGTGTTTTATTTGAATTACTATGTTTTTTATTAATAATCAATTTTTTCACATTTTACCAACTAAGTTAATGTGTCAACAAAGCTTACAAAGAAAGACTGGAGGACATTTAATTTAGCTAAATGTAATATCTGCTATATAAAAAGCCTTGAATGCGAAAATTTGATATTTGCCAAGAATTTAATTAATAAACTTGATGAGACTAACAGTAAAGAATCAACATCAGTGTCATTATTGTAAATGTTCAATCCTGTGAGGAATCCTCTCGCTATACGACCATCTAATATACATCATCTGTTGTTTCTCTCCTCTTCAATCTCCAGCAAAGCAGTTGGTCTACCTTTACCCACGTTTCTATAACTGCTCTGTTCCTGCTGCTTTCTCGGCTGACCTGCCACAGCTGGCCCAGTTATGTGCCGACTCCAAACCACAGCTGTCCTCCAATAAGAGAATGGAGCAGCTTTTTTCAGCTGGAGGGGAAAAGTTTGTCAGTTTTGCTAAATCTGAAAACTTTGTGGATGGTAAGATACCCCGCATGCCCTTTTTGACTTTTAGGCATTTACTTGCTCATCATGTACAATCTTAGAAGAGCAGACTTCTTTCCTGTAGCCCGCTGCCATGTTTGCACATTTCACGCGTCGACCACAGTCACTGATTATCAGGCGCAGACACGCTATCGTCTCTGCACAGTGACGTGCATTATCACCTCCCAACCGCGCTTTCAAACTATACTCACAGCTGCTTTGACTTTTGGATCCTAGTATGAATAGTTACATGCAGTGTTTTGTTTCTCAGTTTGTGTATATGTATATTTTTATTACTTAGAGAGAATAATTATCCACACAAAGGTTTATTTATGCATGAAAACAACACAGAGCTCACATTTATTTTGCCATAATCATACATAATGCAAAAGGAAGTGTGAGCTTATCATGTCTGCGTTTCCTTTATTCTCATATCATTTGGCAAATTGCCAAAACAACTTGAAAAATGGTATTTAATGGTATAAAAACATCATATGTTTCATTTAACACAATGATTCGAGTACAGACTACTCTAGTACCTGACATGTTTTTCTGTTTCATTCAGATATCTACACGGGCTGGGTGGCTCAGGAACTGGGCGCCGACCTTTTAGTGGAGTCCTGGCAGAGACAAGGTCACGACCTGCCCTCCAACTGCTCGCTGGCCAAACACACCATGAACATTAAGAAAATCCAGCTTCCCAGATCAATCCTGTTTTATTCGTACGACGACCACTCAAAGTGGTGCGTGTCACGACTTTATGAGGACCAGGTGACCTGCCTGGGAGACCTGAACAGAGAGATGGGCCAGCTGTGGCGAGGTGGCGGTCTGATCTGTTCCTCCAACCCTTTGATTTATAAGGCCTTCAGGCAGGTGGTGGATTGGTACATTCACTGCTAATTGATTAAGAATCAGTGTGACGCTGGCTGACAGCGGCAGAGCGAGACACTATGCTTCTGTCTCCAGGGTTGGCTGCTATGTTGAAGTAACATAAAGACTCACATATAATAATGTATGTGTATAATTTAATTCAATTTTATATATACAGCTCCAAATCACAACAACAGTCACCCGAAGGTGCTTTATATTGTAAGGTCGACCC